CCAGAATCTGAATGTGCGTTCGAACTTTAACGCAGAGTTCGACCTTTGCCGTAATGAACTTAAACGCCAGATCTGAACTAGTGCGTTCGGAAACTTTTAACGCAGAGTTCGACCTATGCGTTGATGAACTTTAAAACGCCAGATCTGAACTGTGGGTTCGAGAAAAACTTAACGCAGAGTTCGCCTTTGCGTTGATGAAAACTTTAAACGGCCAGATCTGAACTGTGCGTTCGAAACTTTAACGGCATGAGTCGACCTTGGGTTGATGAACTTAACGGCCAGATCTGAACTATCGCGTTTAGATAAAATTCTTTCTTATGGACTTGCAAAGCTCTTCAACTGACTGATGAATATTCTTCCTTTAGGCAGTGGCCATTACACCCGTGAACACTCTCATCTTCGTACCACGCACTTCGGGCATGAGGGAGTGTGGACTCTAATAATGCCAATTCAATCTCGTCAAGAACTTCCAATATTCCGGACAATTCCGGACAAAAAGATCGCGTCACTAGCTGATCTCAGATCCAAAGTAACTGATGTAACTTCAGAGTTTTAGTTGACGGACGCTAGGAGGAAGTTGAGACTGGTCTCGCAGAAACTCACACAAGCACTCTTTCTTATTTTGAGATCGTGTCAGTATTCAAAAGAGGATACCATGCACGGCGTCATACATACAAAATGGCTTAAAGGCAGATCGGTGATCGACGCTTCTTCCACCTAGGACATGCACAGGATCGTTTCCCATCTCCTAACTACAAAAATGCTCAGCCGTTCCCGGTCACACATGAACTGGACTTGGTGAGAGAGCAGGATGGGCGGTACTGTTATGGGTTCATGACTCACAAGGGTGTGAAAAATACCGCTGATTATAATCGAAAATGTCGCTTTGAAACCACTGCTTTCTCGCGAAGGATATCCGTATTGCAGGAGAACCACTAGTCACTAACACCTTCATTGCGATCGGTTTTGGCTTGCCAAAGAGAATTCCGCGAACTGCAGGTATCCGAGCTCGCTGGATGGGTTCATTCCATCACAAAGACAGGATGTGGGGACACGGAGAATGATAAGAATTCGTGTTGGCAGATTAAAGAGAACGATTACGCTAATCCTGGCTTGATTCCCTATTTAAGGCTACTAAACATGGAATAGCTCTTAGTCCATATAAACTTCTTTGGGCCATTCTGGAGGGTGGCGGTACAATCCAGAAGACCTTGTAAGTAGGCGTTTTTCGCACCGGAAGGAAAATTAGGTTTCGGCCCCTACATGAATGTCCCGGGATGTCTCCAGTTTCTTTCGGAAGATTACCATATGAATAGTTGTCCCATCGGGTCAACTGAGCTGAAGATCTAAGGAGGCAAGGAGACCATCCCCGAGGTTATAATTGACACTCTATGGAGTGAAGTGTGTCATTTCCAAATTCTGCGCAATTGACGGAGGGCCCGAGGACGTGGTATCAAACAGCTTCCTGAGCTCGAGTACTTTATACCAAAAATTTGTCTGACAAGATGCCGCTAGGTGTTCGTCGGAGGCGAGCACACCTGAGACCCTCCAAGGCTCTGATCAATTGGACGACCAACCGTTCACTATAGGTCAGCGGAGGGAATAGAAGAATCGACTTCCCAGCACAAACTGAAATTCGAGAAA